GAATCCAGTCAGAGGAGGTCGAGGACAAGGCCGCCGACTGGACGATCTGGTCCATTTATACCCTATGACCAAAGAACCCGAATCTGGATATTTTTGACCTCCTAGAGGGGTGGCAAAAGACTTTGCGGGTTCTGGCGGAGTAAGATGACCAAGCAGCAGCGGCCACCTGATGATCCGACCAGGCAGGGGGTTCTGGTCCTGCTTCGAAGGATCCCCCTGACCAGCCATAGTGTAACGAGTCTTGACCCCATAGAGATTGGGTCTTACCTTTTCTTGTATATAAATGGAAATACATTTTGCTTTCAATTGTTGTTCACCTTTTCATACATAAGTACAGTTTACAATCCAGATTTACATAGGCAATTACATACGAATTCTTACACGTGAACAGAACGCATGCGAACTGTTTCAAGCGAACAAAATAATACTTTTACATTAAAGAGGAAACTAACAAAAACTGAGAGCTGAGTTCGGGATTACTGATAGTATGGTCGGAGGTGCTCAGCATTCCAAGCTCGGGATACTTTAGAACCGTTCAATCTTTTGAGATGGTAAGTCCCCGGTCTGCTCACCTTGTCGACCCGGTACGGTCCTTCCCAGTTAGGTCCTAGTACCCCTGCACTTGGCTCTCTGGTCCTAAGGAGAACTTCCTTTAGCACAAAGTCCCCGACCTGAAAGTCTCTTCGTTTGACCTTTGAATCAAAAAACCTCTTTGCCTGCTGTTGGTAGGCTGCTATCCTTAACGAAGCCTTGCTGCGGTGCTCTTCAACGAGATCCAAACTTGCCCTTATTAGTGCCTCGTTTTCAACCTTGTCATACAAGTCTCTCCGAAAAGAACCAGTTCCCACCTCTACAGGAATCATTGCTTCGTAGCCATAGGCTAGCGAAAAAGAGGTTTCTGAGGTGGAAGTTCTTGGAGTTGACCTATAAGCCCATAAGACTTCGGGGAGATCGTCAGCCCAATTTCCTTTGGCTGCCCCAAGTTTGGCCTTTAGAGTGTGCTTGATGGTCTTGTTGACTGCTTCAACTTGGTCGTTTGCTTGCGGTCTGGCGACTGAGGCGAATTTTTTATGGATGCCCAGTTCGTCGCAGAACTGCTTGAACTCCTAGTTATCGAATTGTTTTCCATTATCCGAGATAGGGGTGTGAGGAATTCCGTAGCGACACACTATGTTCTTGAAAATGAAGTCTTTCAGCTTTCTGATCGTGATCGCGGCTAGCGGTTCAGCTTCTACCTATTTTGTGAAATAATCTACCGCGACCACGGCATATTTGACCCCTCCCTTTCCAACTAGCATGGGACCGATAAGGTCGATCCCCCATATGGAAAATGGCCAGGGGCTAGACATCGTTATCAGCTCGTGTGAGGGGGCTCGCGGAATGTTCGCGAACCGCTAGCACTTGTCACATTTCTTAACAAAATTGTGCGTATCTTCTTGGATTCGGGGCCAATAATATCCCTGGCGAACAACTTTGTTCGCAAGAGATCGAGCAGCTATGTGATTATCGCAGATTCCTTTGTGAATTTCTCTCATGACGTAGATTGCTTCTTCACTGGTTACACATCGGAGGAGAGGGGCACTGAATCCTCTCCTATACAGCTGGTCTTCGATGAGTGCGTAACGAGCAGATCTTACTCGCAGGATTCTTGCCTCGACCTTGTCGTCTGGCAGGGTCCCATCCTTGAGGTACTAGAAAATGGGAGTCATCCAAGAATCCAGTTGAGTCGTATTTACGGCCTGTTCGGCTGAGCTGATAGTTGAAGCATCCACGATACGAACATGAATGCTATCTGGAGCCTCGGAATCTAATGACGATGCTATCTTTGCTAGGGCGTCCGCTATAGAATTGCTATCTCTGGGGATCTGAGTGATTTCAAAGTGTTCGAACGACCCGAGAGTGGTCTTAGCTTCTTTCAGGTAGCAGATCATGTTCTCTTCCTTATCTTGGTATTCTCCTAGAATTTGGTTGATGACCAGCATAGAGTCGCTGTAAATGCTGACCACGGTTGCACCCATTTCTTTGGCAAGTCGCAACCCGGCGAGCAGGGCTTCATACTCTGCCTCATTGTTGGTCGCCTTAAACCCGAATCGCAGAATACCATGAATTCGAGCCCCCTCAGGGCTTACAAGGAGAAGACCCGCACCGGCTCTTTTCCTGTTTGATGACCCGTCGACATAGAGGTTCCAAGTCGACAGGTTCTGAATACTTCCTTGCACGACTTCGCTAGGCTGTTGCTCGCTTGGGGGATAGGAAAATTCTATGATGAAGTCTGCAACGGCTTGCCCTTTAATGGTTGACCTGGGCTTGTACTTCAGGTCGAACTGGCTCAACTCCATGGCCCATTTGAGAAGTTTACCCGAGGCTTCTGGTTTCTGGAGGACCTGCTTGAGGGGGTAATTAGTCATTACGTTGAGCATATGGGCATGGAAGTAAGGTCGCAGCTTTCTAGACGCGATCAGCAGAGCAAAGGCTAGTCGTTCCATTTTCGGATACCGCATCTCGGCATCCGATAGGCGCTTGCTTGCATAATACACTGGCCACTGCGCCTTTTCCTCTTCCCGTACTAAAGCTGCACTGACCGCGAACTGAGATATGGACATATAGATGAGCAGGATTTCCTGTGGAAGAGGCTTAGAGAGGAGAGGTGGCTTCCCGAGGTGTTCTTTTATACTCTGGAACGCCTGTTCGCATTTGGGAGTCCATTCGAATTTCTTGTTGGCCTTCAGAACATTGAAAAATGGTAAGCAGCGGTCTGTTAATCTCGATATGAAGCGACTAAGTGCCGCTATCCGCCCATTTAGACTCATGACCTGCTTTTTGCTGGTCGGGCTCTCCATATCGAGCAGAGCTTGAATCTTCTCGGGGTTTATTTCTATGCCCCGCTGATTAACCATATACCCTAGGAACTTTCCTGATGACATCCCGAACGAACACTTGAGAGGGTTTAGCTTCATTCTGTGCAACCGGAGGATGTCAAACATCTCAGCGAGATGTGCAATATGTTCTGAGGCGACCTGGTATTTGACCAGCATGTCGTCCACATAGACTTCCATTGTCTTCCCGATCTGGTCGGAGAACATTTGGTTGACCAGCCTCTGATAGGTCGCGCCCGCATTCTTGAGGTCGAAAGGCATGACTTTGTAACAGTATAGCCCTCGGTCCGTAATGAAGGATGTATGCTCCTCGTCTAGCCCATACATTGGGATTTGATTGTATCTTGAGTACGCATCCATGAAGCTTAGCAACTCGTGCCCTGACGTGGCATCAACGAGCTGGTCGATTCTCGGCAGAGGGAAGCTGTTTTTCGAGCAAGCCTTGTTGAGGTCGCTGAAGTCAACGCAGGTCCGCCACTTGCCGTTTGGCTTCTTTACTAGGACCGGGTTGGCAACCCAGGTTGGGTAGAGAGCCTCTCGAATGGACCCATTTCGGAGAAGGTTCTCCACTTCTGATTTTAGTGCGGCGTACCGCTCCGGATCCATCGCTCTTCTTTTCTGGCCAACCGGTTTGGCTTCACTGCTGACGTTTAATGAATGGCAAATAATGTCCGGGCTAATCTCGACCATATCTGCATGAGACCAGGCAAACACGTCAATGTTTTCCTTTAAGAAGCTTATCAGTTCGGAAGCGAGCTGAGGGTTGAGACAGCTTCCAACGCTTAACACTCGGCTCGACTCTTTTGGATCAACCGAAATTTCGAACAGATCCTCAACCAGGCCACTAGGAGGGATTTCCTGGATTCGCGGATCTATGTTATCCTCCGCTGGACCAGGCTATGGCTGGATCCGACTGATCGCCATAGCCTGGCGGGGCACACATCGCGAAATGCCCTTTCCCTTGTCTGCCATCTGCACCGCTTTTACATAGCATTCGCGAGATGCGCTTTGTGATCTGCTTACTTCCCCTATCCCCGTTGGAGTGGGGAACTTCATCTTGAGGTGATAAATGGAAGTGACTGCCTTGAAGCTTCTCAACAGAGGTCGCCCTAAGATTCCATTAAAGGCCGATGGGCAGTCCACGACCAAAAATTCGGTAACCCTAGTCACCTCGTCGTAGTCACCGAGCGTGACTGGTAGCTGGATAGTTCCTTTTGGGATTAGGTGGTCCCCTGTAAAACCGTAAAGAGGTATCGAGGCAGGCTTCAAGTCGGTCTCGTCTAGGTTCATTCTATCGAAAGCGGTCTTGAACAGGATGTTCACAGCGCATCCGTTGTCCACAAGCATTCTGCAGACATTATGACACCCTATCAGGGGCGTGATCACCAGGGCGTCCTCGTGAGGATGGTGCAAGCGAGCTGCTTCCTTTTCGCAGAAGGTGATCGGCTCTTTCTTTCGAGCCTTTTGTGGTCGCTGCGAAGTGTTCATTACTCAATTTGGTGAAGATAAATGAATTGAAGCAAACATTTAATAATTTTAAATTATTTATCTAAATAAATCTAAATAAATCTAAACAAACATTTAATTAAATAATAAAAAAATTCAAATTAAAAATTAATTTGGTGAAGATAAATGAATTTAAAAAATAGGTAAAGATTAATGTTTATTTAAAAAAAGAATTGAAGCAAATGTTTTGAAGCTTATATTATGAGATAAACAGAGGCTCGAAAATTATAATAAACCTTAAAATAATTTTGATCAAGACAAAATGAAAATAATGATTTTTCAGTACTAATCTTTTCCTCCAAAACAATTGAGATTATTTTTTTTAAATAAATAATAAATTGTGGGGAAACTATTCTAGTATTTTAATAATTTTAAATTATTTATTAAAAAAAAATGTGGAATAAAAAAGAAAGTGTTTTAAGTTGGTAAAATGATAGGAGGAAAAAAAGTGACTTTTGAATTTAAAGTTGCAGGGGCTTGTAAGTTAATATCGATACCTGAGGCGATTTATTGGTTTTCGGGCAAACCTTGAGGCGTTTAAAGTGATTATCCCTTTGAAGTAAATATCCAATCGCTCCATTTCAATTTTATCAAACAAATGAAAAATCTAACTGCTCAAATAATAAACATTCAACTTACAATGCAAGGGAATTCTGAATTCTAGGCTTTCGCTCAATTTATCAATTTTCAATTGCTCATTAAGAACACGTGTAGCGGAACGAGCAGCAGTTCATGTAAATGAAAGCTCATTTTGCATAGCACAAACAAGAAATAAATAGATTTTTCAATTTTTATCTTTGCATTGGATTAACTATAAGCCCCAACAAGAATGCACCAAAAGACTAAGCCCTAGCCACTAAAACAAATCACACTGGAGTGAAAAACAGAAGCAGCTCTATTTCTGGGAAAAATCCAAGAACACATACTTGACTCGACTATTAATTGATAATTACTTGACAGCTAGTCTCCTTTTTGATGATGTTGTCTTCGACGAATGAGTACAAAGCCAAGAGATGCCACCATTCCGATCAGATACCCTGCCAAGGCTCCATAACTCACACAAATCGGCCATTCCTGTGAATTGAAAATGAGATCATTCAAGCCTAAATAGAAAACAAGCAGCTCAAACACCACATTCATCCAGTAAAGGAACAACAATCCAGCTTTAAAACCAGCCAAGTTGAGCATATGCTTGACAGATATAAACATCATAATATATATCACAAACCTAGATACAAGATAAGTTAAAATTTCTGAAATGCTTATCCCTATATTATACACAATCCAGAAGAAGCACAAGCAGATAGTCAGAATTTAAAAAAAAAAAAAAAAAAACTTCACCAATTATTCATTAATTTATAAGGGTTGGTAACAAACTGATAGAACACCTACAATGGCCTGTTATATGAAGTAAACGGGGGAAATGACAACTTACCTGCCATGGCCTCTCCCAATCAAGCGGCATTGGCCAAGCGCCAAACCAAGCTCCAATAACAGCTCCATGCACTGGTAGACAAATCATATAGTCTACAGATCCATTTGGCCTAAAGAGTAAATAGATTCAAATTTCACATCAGCAAGTAAAAGTTGTATCACAACTTCAATTCACTAATTTCATTCAATACATTCTTTTATTGAGCTCTATTAAGTCTAAGAAAAATACAATAAAGTTCCTGATCCAATAAAGCATGAGAGAAAACAGAAACAAAGCTAAAACAAAACAAAAATCCTATTACTGTCAATGTTTACTTCTCGTCACTTTGATGGACGTATATGGAAACACACTCCAAATAACAGTTGAGGCCAACATGCAGACTCCATGAACAAAATCGAGGGAAACTCAATTATGATTTCACTGCAAGATTTGGTACAAACACATCACAACCTTGCATGCATCCTAAATCTAGTAATTATTGTGCAATTATATATCCTTGTCAATAAATGAAACATATACTGCATGAATTAATGCCTAAATATAGAGAATAAACCACCAAAAAATAAGAGAAGGCTTACTTCGTATGTGCAAATATATGTCGCCAATCTTCCCATGATGAACCATATACCGAAGCAGCAGGAACAAACTGCCAGTACACAAGATAAAAAAGCAGTAATATATAATAGAATAACACAAATGAAGTCTGACAAAATTCAAATGCAGCTAACTTGTTGCCACTGTGCATATATATATATTGGAGAGTAATAATAATATAAAAGAAATTGGACGAAAACTTCTTTCATATAACATTTGTGACATTTTATATCTGCAATGTATGTGCAGCATTATATACAGGACATGAAGTTTAATTCAACAGACTTCCAACTGCAATTTCTCAGTTATAGTACAGCAGGAAAAACTGAAATAAGTCATGTACTTACAGTGAACAGTGACATTAAAAGAGACCAATCAAAGGTATTTTTCATATACCTGTATCCAATAAGAAATAGACATGATCAATGCACATTTTGTAAAAAAACTTAATTTTATTAAAACCAATAAACAATTACATCTACAAGTTATTTACGGTTAAATACACTTAATCCAAAATTATCTTGACACATTCTGTCTCCACAATTTTGAAACAAAGTCACAGTTGAGATTTGGACAATTAAAACAATTTTTGAAATGCATTCCCCACCCAACTTTATCCATTATATTAAAGTTTTACTTTCTATTTTTGGAGAAGAGCAAAATTCAGAAAGTTTTGAAAGGAAACAGGCAAGCCACTTGTAGAAAATGTAGGGAATTTGTGTACCTGACAGTGAAGAAAGGTGTTGTTTAAGGAACTATGAGTGACCCCATTTTGACCTCAACTGTGACTTCTGTTTCCATAATAACTGTAAAAGGCACAAATTTTTATCTACCCTTATTCCACATACTGAATGCCCACAGGTGCACCCAAAGCAATAGCTCCTAAAGCATTTATAAGAGCCCCTACAAAGTAGAAGATGGATCAATTATTTTATGTTATGCAGAAAAAACAAAGGGAACAGAAACCCTTGCCTAAAAATAAAGACATACATGAGATGTTAAACAAAACATATATGATCCTTTCATTTTACCAAGCGTTTTTACAAGGTAGTGCTAGTCTAAACCAAGCTATATTTCTCTAAACACTGACACAAGTTTCTTACATTATAATCCAAAGCCAGACACATGACTTGGAGATCACTCATTGTAACTGGAAAACATTTCTTTAAGGACCCATTTATAACCATTTTTGATAGGAACCCACTCTAATAACTCAATAATTTGGGTTGGGCCATGGGTCTTTCATGGGCTTGGGTAGAACTCTCCTTGGAAAACCGGCTTGTCAAGGGAGGGTGCCCAAGCCTTTATAACCCACATGCCCACCCTTTTCCCTTTCAATGTGGGATCCCAACATTCCACCATGCTTCCGCAACCGACGTCCACGTCGGCCTCTTTACCCCCGTCGGCCTCTTTACCCCTTGGGTGACTACGCGGATCCCCTTTTCCTTCGGGCCTCCATGCCCTTTCTCGGGGTAGCAGCCCGGGCCCAAGGTCAGCCTGCCACGGGTCAGCCTGCCACGCGTGCGCTGCCACATAGGCGTAGGATCATGCTCTGATACCAATTGATAGGAACCCACTCTAATAACTCAATAATTTGGGTTGGGCCATGGGTCTTTCATGGGCTTGGATAGAACTCTCCTTGGAAAACCGGCTTGTCAAGGGAGGGTGTCTAAGCCTTTATAACCCACATGCCCACCCTTTTCCCTTTCAATGTGGGATCCCAACAATTTCCTTCCATCTTCAAATTAGATGGAAAAATGACACACACATGCCACAAATTTGCTTATAAGCAGGTAAAAACTTCATCCATTAACTTCAATAACAAAATTATTGAAGCTAAAAAAAGTAAAGCATATAACATAAACATTTCCACTAGAAGTACATTGAACCTACAAAGACAATGAATCTTCATCAAGCCACATTTAAATGCTCCACAAAAATTTCTTATTTAGACTGTAAAACAAACTAATCCAACAATCTTCAAAATCAAATACACATCATTACAAACCAAGGAAATAAAAACTAATATTAATATTGAAAAAAGATATTGTTTCATTCAAAATCTAAAGCAGAATGAGCAACATCACTCATTGTATGTTGCAACATAAGTTCTGCTTTATCTTCAGACTAAATAGAAGAAAACATACAACCATGCTAAACATTTGTATCCGTACAGATATAAAATCCACAAATAGAAACTATACTAAATAAAACAAGTGAAACAGTATGCAGAAAAGTAAAAAAATTGAACAAGACAGAGTAGAAAGGAGAAACACGAATATCAGACTAACCAACAGAGAGTCCCAGTAGGCCTCGTGCCACAGCTTTGAAATACTGTTACAAAAATATAAAGGAAAGAAATAAAAAAGCACATAAAAAACCAATATCAAATAACCTTAGGTCTTCAACAATATCAGTGAGGGGATGGGAAAGATTTTTATATAAATCGTCACACATTGCATGAAACATCATATTTGTAACATTATTGCCAAATTTGTAGTGAAATATGATCTGTAAATATTACAAGTATAAAATGTTCCATAAATAGGTCTAATGCTAAATCAAAATCACAGTAAAGTTAATGTAATATTTTTTTTCCAAATAACATATGGCATACACTTGCTACATGGAACATCTTATCATTAAGAAATAGAGTTGCTAGACCACAGAACTCTGTTAAATAGCCTGCTTTTCTACACAACGTTTAATTTTTTTAAAAGAATCTCAGCCCTTGGATCAAGAATCCAAGAGCTTAGCCTAAAGTTACCACGCTAAGAAACTATAAGGTTACAAATGAATATTAGCAAGCATTTCATTTTAAAAGTTGCTTAAAAGTTGCAAATTACAGTCGCACTAATATACCAGGCCATATTAAGTTATTAACCTAAAGTTTCTTTAATTGGAACTATGCACTTATATAAAAACAAATCCAATGGTCAATATCATCCCAGTAACATTACAAGGCAAGTACTCTAGCAAACTGTAATTCGGTAACATTACCGCAAACTTCCATATACATATAAGCATAAACATGCATTGCTCTTTTATTGCCACATTATTTGCGCTCATAAAATAAATTTAATTTTTTTGTTTCCTTGTACTCTTCCCTATACATTAGATAGTGCACAAATATAAAAGTTGAACTGTAGCATTTTCCACATAAAAAAAAATTCCCAAAAAGGAGCAAATTTATTTTGTGGATTAACAAAATATAATGTAAATTACCGAGGCTTTGTCGGGATTTTTCCAAAAATAGCTGTAAAGAAGAATAACAATTGGGCTCTCGATAACCTAAATTACAGTGTTGAAACAAAATTAATGAGTAACCCAGATTATAAATTTGAATTTGATGACAAAAAGTGAAAGAAAACAAATGTACAGTACCCAGATCAAACGGAGAGTGTCCGAAGGATGAGAGACGAGATTGATGGAATAGACGTTGTGGGCCACCCAGAATCCGGCGCCTAAGCCTACTCCACAAATCAGGTGGACTAAAAATGTTTGAAGAGGAGACACCGAATGGGATGAAGAAGAAGAAGGAGAAGGAGTTTCGGTGGATGAAGGTCTGACCATTGTTGCGTTTTTTGGGAATTCAGAATGAAGTTGTAAGGTTTATATATATTGGGCTAAGTCGGGCTCAGCATGACTCGAATTTCGTCACGCATTTTGGGCTTAATGGGTGCAAGATCGGCCTGCTAGTATTAATGGGCTCATACAGAAGGAAATACTATGGATAATTAATGCAAGGCCTCCGATTGATTTTAGAATTGACATAGTATTTGAAAGATTTGTCTTGAAAATGTACAGTTTTATCAATACAATCTTATTGGAGCAATGTGTACCAAAGGCATAGATTTTTTGAACAATAATGCTTACTATAATATTATAATATGTCAAGTTTTCTTTTGAATTAATTTTACGAGGAGTGTTGATTAGTTCGTGGACTGAAACTGATTTGTTCTTCTGTTGCAATTATTTACTTTTTTATTTATTTGAAGACGACGGAAAATAATAGTTAAATGAGAAAAAGAGAAATGCTGATTACTAGAGATATGCTGTTGTCATGTCAAATTGGCATGGTTGACTTTGTTGACTTCCTCTCAAAGCTAAGAATAGTTAATGTGGAGAAAAGAGTGCTTCTTTTTGCTGTAATTTATGTGAATTTTCGATTAATATTTTGAGGCAATTGGTTGCTTTGCTGGTTCAAGTTTATATTCCATTAGATGTTATGATTATCACTATCTGTTTAGCAATGGTGTTTGAGCTTTTACATTGGCTTTGAGAGGAATATGGATTGATTCGTGGCTTGATATTCCTTTGCTTTTCATGTTTTCATTTGAATGTCATGTTATGGATCGGGTTATTGATCCTTTGTTTGAATTTCTGATATATTTAGGAAATGAATGGAAAAAGATATTTAAATTTGAAACTTTTTAATAACATGGTCTACATTATGTCATTGCTGCTCTGTTTGATTTTTGAGAAAATGAAGAAACAAGCATTTTACAATGTGTTTAGGTTGTACCCTGTTTCTTTACTTCGAGATTCAAAGAACTCCTTAGTTTTTAAAAATTGCCATTCAAATATGAATAGAAACGGCAGAATTTTGTCCCATCTGTCTTATTTTATTTTGTTTTTTTGTCTTATTTTTGTGTTATCTGACTGATTGAGTAAAGGAAAAGATTGAGGCAACCATTGAACAATTATTGGTTCGACACAGATGTTTTCATGATTTTTTTTATATTAACTAGAATTATTTTGTTCATGTATTGTCTAACCTGGGTGATAAGTTAGTATCTATTCTTGTAAATTTTAGCTTAACATATTGAAGACAATATCATGGTTAGACTTTGTTACTATATCCAGATGGTATTCGATGGTGCATGCCGATGGGTCTATTATCCAGACCTTTGATTACTTGAGGCAACATGGGCTGCAAGGATTTGTAGACATATGGCCAAGACCCACTGTTATCGCTTGGAAAATAATTGCTTGTTATGCAGCATTTGAGGCTGCCCTTCTGCTTCTTCTGCCTAGAAAAAGGGTTGAAGGCCCAATATCTCCTGCTGGGAACCAACCTGTTTACAAGGTTTCTTTGCTTGATATCATCTTCTCCAGAATGCCTTAATATATACTTGTTTGTTGGTAATTTTTGGTGGACTGTTAGGATTTAATTTTCATTAACTCAAAATCAAAGAAATTTCTTCTACTTAATCATGTTGCTTGCATTTATTGTATTGCTTACTTTTTTTGTTGATTGGTGCAGGCAAATGGTGTGGCAGCGTACGCAGTGACACTATCAACCTATCTAAGCCTTTGGTGGTAAAGGATTTCTCCATCAACTTTTTTTATGAAGTTGCAAAATGCTTTAGAACTATGAATTTGATGTTGTTAGAAGGGTTGTTCTGAGTGGAAGCTTTCCCTTTGGCTGCTTGTGAGTTGCTACACACCATCAATGATGTCTATATCAATTTTTTTCTTTTATTTTTTTTAAATTTACTCAGCCAAGATATTCACTGCTGTCATGCGCCAGTTAATCAAAGACTTGAGACAAATTAAACTTTTAGATTCTTCAGTCTTGTTTCTTTTACAAGAATTGTCATTTTTGTTTGTTGTGTCTATTAAAGGACTCTTCTTGGTACTGTTTATAGGATTGCTTGCTGGTTTCTTGAAATTTGTTTCCTTTTTCTGTTCGATATGAGCGGTATCTTGGGTGTTTCTCCTGAAATTAGAAGCAAAATTGATGAATTGGTGTCTCGCTGTTGGAATATACAAATCCAATTTGTCTGGTATCTCATTGTATTTGATTTGAAACTAAAAATATGAGTAATTTGAACCCTCTTATCAATTAGGTACCTCTTTTCCCATATTCAGTATTGCACCATTTTATGTTTTAACTTTCATAGTCTGACTAGAACTCAATGGTTTATCGTTTATCGTGTTTAACTTCTATTTACTTGTATTTTGCAGTTGCATGGCTCTTTAGTTAGAAACATGCCAACGAGTTAGTAACTGTTGTAGCCTGCCTTTCCCTTACAACTGTGTGATTTACCTACTTCTGGTTTTGGTTTTAGTCACTTGCATCGAATATCATCAAGTGCAATTGGTTTATGCTTTCATTGTGTTCATTTTCAGGTTCGGCATATTCAATCCCACAATTGTTTAAGATCATTTGGGAGAAATATCTTTGCACTTATTTTTGGAAGCCTCATCTTTTGTGTTTTCTCATACATTAAAGTGAGGATTTAAATTTAAGCTTGCCATAATATTATTTATTCACAGATTACAGTGTTTCAATTTATATTTGACACTGATGCTTTATGTCTACGGGGGTCATTTATGTTTTCTTTAAAAAAGAACCTGAAAAAATCATATTGCACGATAACTTTCATATGGTGCTAAATGTTTGATTGGCCATGTAAGCATTAATGGAAGTTTAGGCTAAGCTTGTATTTTTTTATCTCTATTCTTGACAGTATTATAACTTTATTTAGAGTTATACTCAAACCCTTTTTTTTACTCAAACCTTCTTATTCATGGCCTAGGTTAAGGACCTGTGTATTGTGCTAACATGATTCCATGGAGTTTTAAACTACAGTTTACATTTGGAAGTCTTGTAGCATAATTGCATAATTGTTCCACAAAATAATTAAAGGTCTCTAGAATATGCTACCATTTAATATCTGAAATATAAATGCATCTGATTGATAGCTTTATGGCTTTTAGGTGGCGTTTTTAACTCAATGCTAGGTCATTGAGTTAATACCAACTTTACAATGTTTCGACAAACAAACTTGAGCATCAGAGGGTTCTCGCCAATGGCAACACCACTAGCCTCCTTTGACTTCATTGTTGTCTTGTAGGTCCAAGTCCACATCATTTGAACGAGCTGAGACCAAGTCCGCAGAATCCAGTGAGTGAAAAGACCATTTTCCTGGTTGACCAAAAGCAAGGGTCAACAATAATCGTTTAAAGATGATCAACCATGACTTTTTTCAATGTATGCCTTCTCTTAAAGTCTTGAAGCTGTCACATAATATTGGTCTGACTAACCCGCCGTTTGGAATTGCAAAATTATTTTTTTTGCAGCATCTTGATCTATCAGCTACTATCATAGAGAAGTTACCAATAGAGTTAAAAGCCCTGGTAAATCTTAAATGGTTGGACTTGGATTATTCTTGGGACCTGCATAAAATTCCACATCAGCTAATATCTCATTTTTTGAAGATTAATGTGTTGAGAATGTTGCATTGTGGTTATGGTTATTCTCCATCTGGTCAAGCAATAACAGAAGATACTGTTTTATACAGTGGTGGTGAATTATTGTTGGAGGAATTGCTCAACTTAAAATATTTAAATGTGTGGAGCATCTTCTTTAGAAGTTCCAGTGCTCTCGGAAAATTTTTGAGGTCCGCTAAGTTGCAGATTTCTACTCAATTTCTATGCCTTCACTGCTTTGATGATTCAAAGTCGCTCAATGTCTTAGCTTTANACAAAATAGAATGATGCAGAGATGATATCTGAACAAATGCTTCCAGCGTATGAACCTCAAGCACTATCAAACTCCTCCAACCCCCCGTAAAGAAAAGAACATCAAACAAATAACAAATAAGGATTGAATAGACACCTAATGCATATCCATTCAATTAGAATAGCCTACTTAAACAAAATTGTATAGAGGCCCCTCCATGATCATTAATAGAAAAATAAAGGGATATTTTAATCAATAAAAAAAAAAGGCATGCATAATTTCTTCCCACTTGATAAAATGGGCTTGACTCACTCCCAAAAGCTAGCTCAAGGGAGGGGGGAGCTCAATCACTTATATACACTATAACAACCCACTATTGGGGCGATGTGGGACAAATTCAACTTCTAACACCCTCCCTCATGCTCGGCGTGCAAGCCCAGAATCCAAACCCAAACGTGGCTCTGATACCATGATAAAGTGGGTTTGGGTAGAACTCACTCCCAAAAGCTAGTTCAAGGGAGGAGTGAGCTCAATCACTTATAATACACTATAACAGCCCACTATTGAGACGATGTGGGACAAATTCAACTTTTAACACCACTGAAGAGCAAAAGAATTAGCAACTATACCAAAATGCTAAGAGCAGACAAGTTAAGTAGCAATTTAATCAAAATCCATCAAGTCATAATAATAATAATAATAACATACTAAAGGAAAACCAAAGAGTTGAGCCACAATAGGCAGACTTAATTAAATTTATTAAGAATAATCTATTAATAAACTCCATCCAAACATGCAAAACAACCTTCTTGACAGTTATCTCCAAACTCATTGTGACATACAAAATGAACAGGTTCAGATCAAAACATGAAGGACTCCAGCTTTTTAAAAAAATTCTTACTCTAAGATTGCATGCAAGGTTACAATGCTGGATGCCTACAATGATTACTTTTCATTGATCATCCTGACATAATTCTTCCTATCACAAATGCTTCAAGATTTTCATCAGGTTTAAGAACATAGAAGTTGAAAATTGTCCAAAACATTAGCAAATCCACAAAAAACAGAATTCCTGAGCACAATATTAATGTTACCAGGTTCTCCTCGTTGTCATACTGATAGAACCTGACCTGCAAAAAACTACTAACAACACCAACAAACAATTCCACAACACATAACCAACACTCACAATCAATAAGAAAATACTCAGTTGTATTAATAACCAAACAGAACCTTACAACCAGTGCAAATACAACCAGTAGCCAGGTTCAATCAGTACTCAATACGCAAACAACTGGAAAACACAGCAAGTACTCTAAGAAAATGGTAAACTAAAGGCATGACTTCGAGGGTTAGTCACCTCCCTTCCAATTTACTTTTGCCTTTCCCATCCCTCTTTCTCTCCCCTCTTTGTTTTTATTCTCTCCTGGCACCTTTTGTGCTCCTAACCGAATTCCCCTACATCCACTCCTATCAAGCCATCTGTCATTTGTAACAAACTCAACCTTTTACGCACAAATGTCAACAATTATTCCTCTGCTTTTTACCCGTGCTCTTCCTACGGTGTACCAGCCCTCTTGGTTGTTCATCATTACCCTCCCCAAGGAGAACCACCTTGTCCTCAAGGTGGAAAGAAGGAAATTGGTAATGAATAATGTCAAAATCCTCCCATGTGTTTTCATAGGACGGTAAGCCTTTCCATTGAATCAGCACCTCCCGCTGTCCATTCAGAAGATTCCTTTTTTTGAGGACTGCTTCAGGTTCCAGTTGTAACACTAAATCCTCGTTGAGGGTTGTCGGTAGAGGTTGACTATTGGGAATTGGGAACGTTGCTTTCTCTAGTTGCGAAACATGAAAAATGTCGTGAATACGAGCTGAAGAAGGTAGGGCCAGCCTGTATGCCACAATCCCAATTTTGTCCGTGATTACAAAAGGACCGTAAAACCGTGGGCTCAATTTTTCATTATACCGACGGGCTAAAGAGCATAACCTGTATGGTTGTAACTTCAAATAGACAGAGTCTCCTACCTCAAATGTAACCTCTCGGCGATGGCGATCAGCATACACTTTCATGCGGTTTTAAGCCTTGAGAAGATTTGCCTTTAACTCCTCAATAATATGGTTTCGTTGCTGAAGTTGCTGGTCAACTTCGTCAACTGGAGAGGTATGGTCCATATAGCGTACTGTTGGTGGTTCACAGCCATAGAGAGGCTTAAATGGACACATTCCCGTGGAGCTATGATAAGTGGTGTTGAACCAAAATTCTGCCCATGGAACCCATTTTGGCCACTATTGTGGGTGGCTATTAACAAAGCATCAGAGGTACATCTCTAAGCAGCGGTTTACAACTTCTGTTTGACCATCCGTTTGCGGATGGTAGGCTAAACTCTTGTGTAAATGTGTCCCGGACTGTTTGAATAATTCAACCCAAAAATTGCTCATGAAAATTCTATCTCGATCTGAAACAATGCTCCGGGTAAACCCATGCAACCGAACTACTTCTTTGATAAATAGATCCGCTACCACTTTGGCTGTGTACGGGTGTTTAAGGGTGACAAAATAGCTGTATTTTGTCAAACGATCAACCAGGACCAGAATAGTATCAACCCCATTCGCTTTGGGCAGCCCCATAATGAAATCCATAGAGACATCATCCCACACCTGATTAGGGATAGGTAATGGTTGAAGCAAACCTGCTGGACTTAATGCGTCATGTTTATTTTGTGGACAAACGCGGCAAGCAGCTACAAATTCGTTGATATCTTTCTTCATTCCCTCACAAAACACCACATTTGAGATCCGCTTATACGATCGAAAAAATCCAGAATGGCACCCAATGGGTGAAGTATGAAATTCTTGGAGTATCTTTTGGATGTGAGGTCCTGATTTAGGCAACACTAACCTGTTATGGTATAGCAGATGGCGTCCCACCAATCTGAAAAGAGGATGGCTGTTAGGGTCAATTAGTAGCTGTTGTATTATCCCACGTAATTTGCCATCTTGCTGGATTGCATCTTCTAATCTGTCTAGTCCAGAAAAACAACCCACAGACAGAGCATGATGCTTGACCATATCAGGCATCCTGGAAAGAGCGTCTGCTGCTTTGTTTTATGGCCCAGGATTATATTGGATACTAAAATCTAGTCCCAACAGTTTTATAACCCATTTCTACTGACTTTTACTTAATAGTTTCTGGTCTGTTAAGAAATAGAGACTCCACTGATCTGTCTGGATAACAAAATGTCTTCCCAAGAGGTAATGGCGCCACTTTTGTACAGCCAATACTACCGCCATTAATTCCCGCTCATAGACAGATTTCAGTTTAGAATTGAGAGACAACCCTTTGCTGAGAAATGCGATAGGCCGCCCTTCTTGCATCAATACAGCCCCTAACCCGCTGCTCGAAGCATCGATGTCTATAATAAATTCTTAAGCAAAATTTGGCATCCGTAGGACAGGGACACTGGTCATGATTCTTTTTAACTCTTCGAAAGCCCGTTGAGCTGCTGTATTCCACACAAAAGAATCCTTCTTCAATAGGGCAGTGAGTGGAAGAGCTATTTTACCGTAATCGCGCACAAAGCGGCAATAGTATGCTGTCAGCCCAAGAATCCTCTGAGTGCCCTGATGTCCTTTGGTTCTGGCCATTTAGTCATGCTGTCTATCTTTGAGGGATCCATGGCCACACCCTTAGATGACACTACATGTCCCAAATATTCTAACTGTAGTTATCCAAATTGACATTTCTTCTGATTTACCACCAGTTGATTCTCCAATAATACCTGCAAAATAATGCTTAAATGCTTTGCATGTTCGTCCATCTCCCTACTGTAAATCAGTATATCGTCAAAGAATAACAATAAAAATTTTCTTAAATAAGGCCTGAATACATCATTCATGACTACTTGAAAGGACCCCGGTGCATTGGTAAGGCCAAAAGGCATTACGAGAAATTCATAGTGCCCTTCGTGTGTTCGAAAGGAAGTCTTGTGTGTGTCTTCTGGTTTCACTCAGATTTGATGATATCCGGATTTCAAATCAAGTTTAGAAAACACCGTTGCCCTTTCTAACTCATCAAACAATTCGTCGATAGCGGGGATCAAAAATTTATCCGGAATTGTCACTTTGTTAACTACCTGATAGTCTACATAGAATCGCCACCCTCCATCCTTCTTTTTCACCAATAAAACAGGGCTGGAGAACAGACTGATGCTCGACTTTATAATTCCTGAAGTCAACATTTCCTTGACAATACGCTCTATTTCATTTTTCTGATAATAAGGATACCGGTATGGCCCGAGGTTTGGTGGTTGTGCACCTAGAACTAACTGAATGGCATGATCTTTTGGCCGGACAGGTGGTAACCTCGGAAGAGGCTCAAAGACTCTGTTAAACTTTCCCAAAACATGCAGCAGTCTCTCATCGATACTCCCAATCTTTTCACACTAAGTCTGTATCTGCCCAAACTCTATCAAACAGCCATGTCCTTCATTCTGCAATGCCTTAATGATCGCTTTGAGGGATACCATGGTTTTGCTAAGCAACAGATCCCCGTACAGACAAACTGTCTAGTTTCCCAATGTGAACCTCATAGTTTGTTTCCTCTAATCCGTAAGGGTCTCGCCTAAAGTCTCAAGCCAAGCAATACCAAGAACTAGATCAGAACTGCTCATATCAAATGGGAAAAATTTTTGCACAATCGTCACCCTCTGTAATTCCATACACACATCCCGACATTCTCCTTCACATCT